GATTGAGTGCACCCTCAGCAAGTTTGCTGATGACACCAGACTGTGTGATGTGGTCTTCACACCCGGAGGGACCTGGACAGACTTGGGAGGTGGGCACAGGTGAGCCTCATGAAGTTCAACAAAGCCGAGGTCCAGCACATGGGTCGAGGCAATCCCAAGCACAAGTACAGGCTGTGTGGAGAATGGCTTGAGAGCAGCCCTGAGGAGAAGGACTTGGGGGTATTGGTTGATGAAAAGCTTGACATGACTGAGCAATATGCACTTGCTGCCCAGAAAGCCAACTGTATCCTGGGCTGCATCAAAAGAAGCGTGGCCAGCAGGTTGAGGGAGATGATTCTCCCCCTCTACTTCACTCTCGTCAGACCCCACCTGGAGTACTGCGTCCAGCTCTGGAGTCCTCAGCACAGGAAACACGTGGATAGGTTAGACCGAGTCCAGAGGAGAGACACAAAGATGATCAGAGGGCTTGAGCACCTCCCATAGGAGGACAGGCTGAAAGAGTTGGGGTTTTCAGCCTGGGGGGGAGAAGGCTCTGAGGAGACCTAAATAGCAGCCTTCCAGTACTTTAAGGGGGCCTACAGGAGAGGTGGGGAGGCACTCTTTATCAGGGAGTGTGGTGAGAGGACCGAGGGGTAATGGTTATAAGCTGAAAGAGGGTAAATTTAGATTAGATATGAGGAAGAAAGGTTTTCCTATAAGGGTGGTGAGACATTGGAACAGGTTGCCCAGGGAAGCTGTGGATGCCCCATCCCTGGAGGTGTTCAAGGCCAGGCTGGATGAGGCTTTGAGCAACCTGGTCTAGTGGAAGGGGTCCCCATCCATGGCATGGGGGTTGGAATTAGATGATCTCTAAAGTCCCTTCTAATCCAACCATTTTATGGCTCTATACTATGATTTTATGATGACAACATGATCAGTTGAGCTCTTACAGCGCTGTTAGAATTGTTTGAAAAGTTGCTATGCTTTTATATCCTGAAGGGCTAACTATGATGCTTCCAGTGTTTTGCAGTGGAAAAATATAAGGATTGTGCAGATTTCTCTATGGTGATGGTAAAAGAATGCAGTGTATTTGGGGTGAAGGGACATGGATCTCTACCTTTGGCAGTGGTAGGGGTACTTAAAATGCTTTATTAGGACTGAATTTAGAGGATATAGCTTCCTCTTTAGGTACCTATGCAAGGAAATTAACCTGCTCATCAGATACTGGGGTCATCAATAGAATAACCTTTGAAGGGTCCCCATTTTACTGGATGATCCTTCAGTTTACATATGAACATTTTTCTCTTTTTTAAACAATGGACTAATGCTAACCTCCTGCTCAGTTTACTGCAATAGTGGACCACTCCATTCAGTACCAATGTGTAAGTAAGTGTCCTCTGGAATAAAGGCTGCACCATTCTAAAAAAGCATTTTCAAATTCTGTTTGTAAGATTGATATATGGAATGTAGAGAGTGTTCCAGTGAGGAAGCATATTGTGTTTTGGTCAGAAAATATATCCTGTATGTATATATATTTTCTTAGCTCTCTCTGCCAAGCCAAACTCCCCAGACACCCAAGTGCTGCAACACTCTGTGAGTTAACACTCAACTAGCACCACAGAAGAATGTGCCAGAGATTTTTAATCACTAGGCAGATAAAAAAAACCTCTGTCATGACGTACTGACCAGACATTTCTTGGCAATCACTAGTCAACTGTGTTAGCCTTTTGTTGTGTCTCCTGCCATTACCTTCCAGGAAATGTCTGAGCATGAGGTCAGCGTAGCTGAAGCAGGCATTGGTTCATTTGTTATCTTTCATGCAGTACGCTGCAGTCAACAGTCTGCTCTCCTCTGAAGGTGAAAGACTTCAACTTAACTTGACTTGTTTATTTACTGTAGAATTTGTCTATCAAACCAAAATGGTAAGAATAGTTCCTGGTGGGAACATTTCTGAGAATAATTTTTAGTGCGTCCTATGAGCATTAATTTTAAAAATATCTATATTTGGCAAATTGTGAACTACTTCTGTATTGACAGTCTACAGAAGAAACACATTAGAAAAGTGAAATGGATTGTAGTTCAGATTACCATGCATTTAAGACTGTCTCTGTTCAGATAAGTACTGTATTCTATGCTTACCTTTGAACAGGAAATTAGATTTTAATTCCTTTCCTGAAAAAGTCTGTTTCCTGGGCTGGAGACCCAGGGAAAAAAATCATTCCTTCCTAGAAAAAGATGAGGAAAAAAAGGGGAAATTACAGGAAAAATCACCTAGCGGATGTCTCCCATCATGCAAATTGATTGTGTAGAGGGAAGACTGTGGTGATTTGTGTTTCTAGCTTCAAGTGACTGCACGTGAAATTCTGAATTTTTGAAGGAATTTAATTTGAAAGACATTGTTATCTTTGATCAAAAATTGTTCATTATTCATCTTTGTCCACATATACTTCATGAACAAAGCACTGCTGAATAGGAAAATGAGAAAGCTGCTTACTTCCTTTCTGGGAATGGAAGTGTCTAGCCTAAGATATGGGGGAATGTCTCCCCCCTTCTCTCTCGATGTAATGTTGGAAACACCTGAAATTTGTTCAGGCTCCTGTATCTTTGTCTCCAGCGTGGAACCGCAGCAGGCAAACAAACGGGCAGCACCACAGCTCTTATGATGATTGCCATTAGGCAGCCCAGGACTCTCCTGGTCCCTGGACAGGCAGGATAACACAAGAGATGAGAGAGATCAACCTCCTCTCTCAAAGCCAGTAATAGCAATGGGGATCCATTTCTACTCAGGAAAAAATGGAGCTGCAGCACATGACCTGCTTCTTTTGAGGCATCCCAGCAAAAAGCTGGGTTTTCTTACCCACTCAAAAGGGCTGAAGTGGCAACAGTGTTACAAACAATTGAGCTCACGGGATTTCCTTGCTGTGCCCTTTGGTCTTCGCTTCCTTCCACACACTACACATTCCCAAGCAGTGTGTTAAACTAAAGATAGTTAATCTCTGCTGGGGTGGTTGCTTTGGACACCCGCTCTGCAAAGACAAACCCCATTCTCTTAATGTCTGCACTGACACTTAGGGTTAACATAGAGGTTATTCGCTGCCAGTCAGAGCTGTATGAATTAGTTTTTCCTTCTCCTCTGTGCAGTCTGCACCAGAACCATCTGCTCTGTACTGTTTGATAGTGGCTTAAGGTTGGCAATGAAGATTGAATGTTTCTAGGAACTGACTTAGGCACCACTTGCCTCTTACATGAGGCTGCGGGGAGAGATACAAAAGGGCTGGAGTCAGACTAGAGAATTTGGGGGTCATAACTGATGGAGTTCCAGGGCAGAGGAACTTAGGGGCTCTGGAGAGAACAGCAGCTTGGGCAGTGACCCTATGGAGCAGGTACCAGTCTGCTACATTGTAGGAGGGACTCTGTACTTTTCAGCGAGGCTGGACTGAGCAGGACTGATCAGGTGCAAAGATAGAGCATGCCAGAAGTTATTTTTCCTTTAACAGACCATGCTTCTGTCATGCAGTATTTTTTCCGTCTAGCCTCAGGGACTGGGTTGCCTGTCAGGCTCAAACACATGAGCTTTTTACTCTCATGGGTTTCAGCAAGAAGCCAGAGGTTTACACCACTTGTTGAATTTGAGCTTTATACCCTGACATTTAGATTAGATATTTAAAAATAAAATATCCTCTTATTTGTGTGCAAAAGTTCCCTCTTCCCTGTGTTGCATCAGAGCAGCTGCTGTTGAGCTCTGCATTTTTCTTTCTGGGACTGTCTGTGACAGCCACCAGCCATCCTTCTATTTACAGTCGTTACCGGAAGAAAATTGGAAACTGCAGCTACTGGGACATGATTATCTTCTCTTTTATGTCAAGTTTGCCATTTACTGCACAGCAAAAGAAATGTTTGTACAGCTAATCACAAATGCCATGTCCTGTTTGAATGAGCTGCTGATGTAGAGCTAATGTAGGACAGGCTTACAAGCAATGGTGATATGGAAGGGGTGACAAAAAGGGACTATCCCCCTCCCCTGCCCCCCACCCGCAGTAATGCCCACAGCCCCTCCACAATCAGAAGTGGGGAAGCCTCCAGAGTAACAGAAGCAAGATTTAGATAACAATCCTGAAGCAAGCAGGGGCTGGTGTCTTTGTCAGCCTCTAGGATAGGACAATCTTGTGAAATGTTTAGTCAAAGGTTTATAGCACTTGCCAAGGCTCTTGACTGAACAGCCATCTAGTTAGATTTCCTTCTTCAGTTCAGTGATCAAAGAGATGATATAATGCCTAATAACTCAGGACCATGCAATCCTTGTTTTATGAAAATAACAGTGCATGACTGCATTTTTGTCGCTGAGGAATATGAAGAATGAAGTGAAAGAGACGTGAATCTGTAAGTGCGATGAGCAGTTTTGAACAGTGTGTGCTATAGCCCTGTCTGTCCCACAATGATAGTGTTTCATTGCACTTCTTAGCTTGTTGAAGTCACAAAACCCACAAACTTACAATATAGAAAATATGTGAAAAACAAAGAGCCAAACCCCCTCATTTGCTAAAACTGCCTTTTATTTTGAGCTTATCTTTTTAATCTTAAAAAGATATTTTTGATGGCATACAGCCTCAGAATCAGCACCTTTGCATTTGCAAACTACAGAGGATCCCCGTCACTTTGTTTCCCTAGTTCTGACTTTTAAATCACACAGTAAGTCTTACTCTTTGATCCTGTTTTCAGTGAAAAACTTAACAGTACATTGCTGCAACAAGGTTGCATGTTATGAGGATCCATTCACAAAATAGAGTTACAGCACATTAAGTATTGATATAATAAATGCACCATAAATTAAAACTATAATGAAAATGCCTTTATAAATATAGAGTGCAGCTTTTGTGATGTGCTACCCTTTCTTGATTTTTGTTCATTTACACTCCAGTTCACAAGAGCATCAGCAGTGCAAATTAATGAGATTTTACTGCATGGTTATCTTGTAGCAAGCTCTTAGTTATACTTAAACAGATTGAACCCAGTATAGTGAGTTAATTATCAGCATCTGGTTTGGTGAGAGATGTCTCAAGCTCTTCTGCAGGGTTAGATTTCTTCTGGCTTGGGATAGCAGGTAGGACAAGGCTTGGTTTCAGAGGCTCTCTTGATAGAGCAGGTAAGAAAGAATATAGCAAATTACTCTGAGAATGTCCCCTTTTCTGGGATCTGGACGTTGGGGCTGGTGGGAGAATAACTGCACCAGTCCTTATGGAATTTAAAGGCAGGGACTTAAACTTCTTAGCACCCTGAGATGGTAGCTGAACTAGAGAAAAAAGAAAGAGAGCACAGAAAGTGAAAAGCATGACATTTTTGCAAATGAGTTTGCTACTTTCTTTGAACTGTTGTTTGTTTGTTTTGTGTTGAGTGTACTTAAACCTGCATTTGAAAAATGTGATAAAATGTGAGTAAAAAAATCGCTAAGGCCTGGCAGGGCTAATCTTCTACTGAAGAAAGCAACGCCAGTGTTAAGCAATTTACTTTGTGTTTGATGATCAATACGACTTGGTAAGTTCAAAGATTTACTTTTGATAAGCAGAGAATCTATAGTTTGTCTGGAGGAGACTTGGTCTGTTTGGAGAGCTTTCCACAAGACATTTTTTCATCAAAAAACCACAGCCTGACTGAAATGGAAATGTTCCATGGAAATATATTATTTTTAACAAAACCTTTGTGTGAGGATGCTCTGTTGCTCAGGGTAAATTCTAATGAAAATCTTAGGAAGATGAAGTGGAATAATGTGGGACACTGTATCTGGGTTGCTCTAGGCACAGTCAATCACGAAGAGAGGTCCACATGTGCTCTGCAAGTCACAGGCCACAAAAGTAGCACATTACCCTGTAGCACACTAGGACTCACACCAAAACACAAGAGCCACAGCTGTTGTATGTCTCACGTGTGTCAGCAGTCTTATAAGAAACTGTGGATTTAGATCATCCTTAATCTCCACCTCACACTCAGCAGTGTATCATTGTGCTTTAAAGTTAATGCAGTTCTGTATCTTCTCTAAATTGAAATTCTCCAACATCATCACTCAGGCAACTCAGTAACTTATTTCCTGATTTTTTAAAAGGCAAGTTCAAAATCTTAATTGCAGACTTATTTTTCTCTGCCTTGGAATTTATTGTGAACTGCATTAGCTTATTTTCATTTAATTCTCTATTCAGAATATCTTTGTATATAAACAGTTCAGGTTTTTCAGTTTAACCATATGAAGAGTTCCCTACTGCAGTTGACACCATCTCTGTTTTGCCTACAGAATCTTTCTTGCAATTTTTCACCTTAGTTTTTCCTTGGTTGCATTGTAATTTCTGTGATTTCCTTCTGTCTGCATCTATTGTGCTGAATGTATGAGAGGCTATTAACATTTTCCTCAGAGATGTTCTAGTTTGATTTTGATCTCACTAGTCATGGCAGCCTCTGGAAGGTTATTTGGATTCTCTGTTTCACTGTCTTCATCCTTTGAAACTAACCACAAATGCTTCCTAGTGGTCAGGTATTAAAAATAATTTTCTCTGAGCCAACCACTTGCACTCAGATTGGTATCATGCTTGTGTCCTGGTTCTTTATGTTCAGGAGGAATCCTGCTAGAAAGCACACTGCTCAAAGGTGACCATCTCAGTCTGTCATTATAATTCAACTTCCTAGTCAACTGCAATGAAAACCTCAGTGTTCATGTTTGCATTATTCCTGGCAGCCCATTTGATTATTCTCTTTTCATAATCTCTGAGAGAAATTTTCCTAGTGCAAGTTCAGGGAAATTCTACAGAAATGAGGAATGGAGAAGAGCATTCTCTCTTGGCCCAATGAAAATCCTGTGGAAGTCCAGAGAAATATCTGAATTTAATCTAGATTTGAACTATTTTAATAGAGGATAAACTTGTAAACGAACTAATTTTTGTTAGAAGTAACAGACTACATAACCAACTGGTATGAACTGAGTAGCTACTGCAGTTGATGCACCTGTGATAAGCTGGACCTTATAAGTCAATTTTGATCTTAAAAAAAATCCCCAAACCAAACTAAACATTCAGCACACTTAAGGAACTCATAGGTAGAATAGTCGATGGAGTTTCTTGAGGGCTGTAGAATAAAATGACAAAAAAAGAGGACTTAAAGGAATTTCAAGTCAGCCTATCCTGAACAATCTGAAATACTTAAAATGCTGCCTGCAGCTGGTGTTTCTCAGAAATTACTCTTTGAACCTATGAAGTCTACCTTCTCGTGCTTATCAAACAACACAAAAAAGAATAACAGGGACACTAGCAGAATGGATGCAGGAGAAGTGAGAGTTTATGTAGTTTTAATATGGAAGGATTATTAACTTTGTCACAAATTTCTGTAAAAATTAAGGTAGATCCATTACTATAACACGGACATGCACCTGGTGAAAAAAAGGCACTCAAGATGTAAATTCCCGGATAACAGGTTTACAATGCAAAGTGACCTTGATAAATTGGAGAAACAGTAAGAAATTCAGCTAATGAAACTCTGGAAAGGCAAATGCAAACCACCACACTTATGGAGAACGAACAAAGAAGTCCCTAATCACCAAAAATCAAAATGTAAGGTGGGGAATAAGTGGCTAGGGGAGTGACAGTCCTGCAGGTAACTGGGGACACAGACTGTGCTCCAGTCGGAAATATATTGAGGAAGTTTGAGCAGAAACCCTGCAGCTTCCGTGCCTCAGCAAAGTAGAAGCACACTGATCTTGTCATGCAAGCCCTTCTGTGTCTGTAGGTTTATGTAGTATGCCATTAATAAGTCAGAAATTTGCCCTATTGAAAACAAATGTTACCTCTTTAATGTTGGCAGTTGGCACCGAAAGATATTTGCATCTATGTATTTTTTCACTATATGCATTGTGCAAAAGAGGCTGAAGTTCTCCTTGCCATATTCCTCTGTACCATATGCCATATATTCATTTCATCATTCATTATTTGTTTATCAGGAGCAGTAATTCTCTAAGACTCACCACGTATCTATGTGGGACAAAGCAAAATCTTTATGGAGAGAATTTAAAAAAATTGGTAGATTTTTTTTTTTCCTTTTCATGTTGATTTCATTACAATTCAGTACAATTTTCAGTACAAGTTGTGATAGCCTGAGTAGGCAGTGTTTACTAGAGCTGCCTGGCCTTTGGTAATGTGGTGTAATTCATGGATCATATTCAAGGTTCATTCATGTTCAGAAGTTCAGGAAATTGCTTAATTCTCCTTTCCGTGCAAAAAAAAAAAAAAACGAACCTAAAACAAACAAAAAAAACCCCCAAAACTTTGCTTTAGTTTGTGTTGAATTTGTGTGAATCAGGCAGGGCTAAATACAATAAATGAGTCCATTTGTTTTCTGGCACATGATAGAATGCTTTGAGTCCACTGAAATTTTTGTGTTTAAACCAAATGCATATGGAGATGCTTGCTTATTTCCATCTTTGGAGCATAAACATATGTTCATGTATTCAAAGTTTTCATCTGTGTAAAATATCTCCAGAACACTTTATGTACTAGATAAGCCCTTAATGATGGATTTAAGTAGGGCAAAAGCAGTGTACTTTAACTTCACTCCCGTGACCATGTAGCCATCACAAACTCATGCTCATTCAAAGAAATGAAAAATGGCATTCAAACATCAATGCTTTCCACCTAGTCCTACTTGCTGTACTCGGTTTAGGATATTTGATAAGGGTTTCAGGACTGGTACATAGCTTTGAAAAAATATTTATAATGACTGATATTAGTATTGAAACACACAAGCCTGGACTCAGCACTGGGGTCTGTGAGAGACAGAACCCTTAAGGCTGGTTGCCATGCATCCAGAAGCTATATACAGTAAAATTACCGGGAATTATTCACATTCAGAGAGCAGAGTCAGCGACCAGAGACCTAGTGATACAATAAGAGCTACTAATTCAGGGAGCCTTTTCCACTCAGTAGTGACTCTTCAATGGCTGCTATTACAAACTGCAGAGACAAGAATAAGGCTGTCAGGGAGGCATTATTGCTCAAGAAGTATGTATTCCAGCAGATGGGATAGCTCTTAAACTCTCTTCCTTTTGCAAGCAGGGAACCATGGTGGCCCTCCACAGAGAGGAGGATGCTTTGTGGAATCCTTTGCTGTTAACTTGGGAAAGAAGAAACTTCAAATTGCGATGAATAACAGCAAAACAACCACTGATCCTCAGAAAATATTCTTAAATGAATTGTAGAAATAGATTTTGTTTGTTTGTTTAACAGGCAATGACCTCACTATGGCTTCAGACCTTCTAAGCCACATGAAGAAGAGAGAAGTCCCATACTTGTTTGGACAATTATTCTGGCATTGTGTGAGTGGTGTGTGATAGCTGTAAGCATGTTTTCCAGGGCTCCTTGAGAGAGCCACATAGTAAGATAGAAAAGGTGCTGAAGGTGAAGCAGCAGCATGCAGAATGACAGAGATGCCAGGCTGTGCTGAGACTACCCAGGAAGCCATGTGAGGGACCTCTTTGGCTCTGGGAGTATGTGGAGGGTGGGAGGTTATAAACTATTGTTTAAAGTCACTCAATTACTCTTTTCCTAAGCTACCATTTAATTCCTGTTATCCTCTTTCTAACTTTTATTTTTAAATGTTTTTGCTTAGAGATTAAAGTGTCTCTTCCTTTTTTTTCACTGTCCTTCCTTTTTTGGGAGATGTTTCTTCTTTCTGTTAATCTCTCAGTAGTTTCAGTTCTCTTTCTAATTTATGCTTATTTTATTGTTCTAGCTCCCTAGTTGTTTTGTGGGTTTTTTTGGTTGTTCTTTTTTTTTCTTTTTCCACTGGCTTTGTTGTGTATTTTTAACACACATCGTGTGTAATGAAAATATTAGGGAAGCACAAATGTTTATATTCAAACTTTGTTGCTGGAGCCGTTTGCCTGGATAAAGGCTGTGTCCAGAACAGTAATATTTTTTGGGCTGGATGAAGGATGAGCGAAATCTTGGCTCTGAAACAGTTGTTTGGAAAGTGCCAGGATCAGATGTGTAATTTGTGTTAACAAAGAAGAAATGTAATCTATTTTGCAAATAACTTACTTTTCTGTTATTGGCTTGAACTGATGTTCAAACAGTAATGGCACCTGGATAAATGTGCTGTACTAGTTAATTAAACCATGACTATTAACTGTGAAAATCATATCTTATTTGTAAAGTACAGCTTTTGGCATGAGACTAGAACTAAAATCCTGGCTGTTTGTATGAATTACTGCAAGAACACCAGTGATTATGAAATAATTTTTTTTAAGGATTTTGCTTACAACTATGTTTTAATTAGAAGACACGGAGAACATTAGTAGAAAGCTTAAAAATAGAAGACTTGGAGCTGGGGTTTTGAAAGCAGTCAGATTATTTTCTTTCCTCTGAGCAGATGGAGACTATCACCTCAGTATTCCACATATCTCTACTTTTCTTCTTCCTCTCTTATTTACTTTGCAGCAGCAGTGCAGGATTATGTATTTCCCCTACCCAATGTGATGTTTCCTATAAAGCTACCTCTGCTGTTTCATTTTTATTAATATTTTTGTAGCTGCAGAATTGCTTCTGAAACTCGGGCTGTAAGAAGCAATGAATCTTAAATTTAGCTCTGAAATTTGAATTATTTAGGACCTGGCTGATCTGCAGGATGACAAATAGTACACTGCAAATCCTCATCCAAAATACATTGGAGGATTTGCACTTAGCGGAGCACAAGAATGTGAGGGCAGGATGCTGCTTGGAGTAAGACTAGTGTTTGCATGTGAAGAACATCCCAGTCGCTGCCTGCATTCATCCTGGGACACTCACCAAGTCTTGACACTCTGCCAGGGCTTTGAGGCTTTCCCTGCTCTTTGGGACCTTGCTTCTTACTGCCTTGGGAATGAGGAGCTGGCTGAAAGTGCGGAGGGGAAAAAAGGCTGCTGCTCTCTCAATCCCTGTATTTTAGCTCCTGCATTATAGAAGCTACCCAAACCCAGTTGTTAGAATGAGAAATGAATGATTCCCATTCTCATGTAAAAGCTAATCTATCTGCTGTGCTTAAGACAGAGAGAGATAGAGCATCTTTTCACCTATGTAACATTCAGAAAATTACAAAGCTTTTGGAAACCTGTTGGTCTTGTTCTAATCCTATTCTCTATAGTTTTTGCTAGGAAAAGGACACAAAAAATCAGTGTCATGAAACTTTTCATGCTCTCTGCAGAAGACTTGTTCCTTATCCTGGCTTTAATCTGACAGATCCAAACTTTCTCTACCATGCAGTCATTATTCAGGTGTTGTCATCAATCTCTTTACATAGAATTATAGAATCATAGAATGGCCTGGGTTGAAAAGGACCTTAAAGATCATCTAGTTCCAACCCCCCTGCTGTGGGCAGGGTTGCCAACCCCTAGAGCAGCCTGCCCAGGGCCCCATCCAGCCTGGCCTTGAATGCCTCCAGGGATGGGGCATCCACAGCTTCTCTGGGCAACCTGTTCCAGTGCCTCACCACCCTCTGAGTGAAAAATTTCCTCCTAGTATCCAATCTAAATCTCCCCTCTCTTAGTTTAAATCTTTTCCCCCTCATCCTGTCACTATCAACCCCTGTAAACAGTCGCTACCCCTCCTGTTTATAGGCTCCCTTCAAGTACTGGAAGGCCGCAATGAGGTCTCCCTGGAGCCTTCTCTTCTCCAAGCTAAACAAGCCCAGTTCCCTCAACCTTTCCTCACAGGAGAGGTGCTCCAGCCCTCTGATCATCTTTGTGGCCCTCCTCTGCACCCGCTCCAAGAGCTCCACGTCTTTCTTGTGCTGGGGGCCCCAGGCCTGGACACAGTACTCCAGATGGGGCCTCACAAGAGCAGAGTAGAGGGGTACAATCACCTCCCTCTCCCTGCTGGACACTCCTTTTCTAATGCAGCCCAGGATATAGCTGGCCTTCCGGGCTGCAAGCTTACTTAGATCCAGTAAGTCACCGTGTTACTTCATGTCCTGCTCCCTGTGGAAAGCTGCCAGAGTCATACAGATAAATGCAATTGAGAGTGAAACAGAGAGTGAAAAATCCCGGGTCTGTGAGAATTCCAGTCACGTCTGCTCTGGAAAACAAATGCAGAAACAAACTCCCTTCTGTACTGATGTAGAGTGCTTCTCCTAGGCCAACTCTGTGAAACTCGTAGGAAAAAAGGGTTGTGATCAGCAGCACAAAGTCCAGCTGGAGGTGGGCCAGTCACTAGTGGAATACCCCCAAAGTTGATACTGAGGCTGATACTATCTAATATCTTCATTAGTTACTTGGACGATGGAGTAGAGTGCACCTTCTGCAAGTTTGCAAGTGACATGGAAGTGGGAGTAGTGGCTGATACAGCAATTGGGTGTGCTGCCATTCAGAGAGACCTTGGCAGGCTTGAGAGATGGATGGACAAGACTCTTACAAAGGGAAATGTAAACTCCTGCACCTAGGGAGGAATAACTCCCAGCACCAATACATGCTGAGGATCAAACAGCTGGGAAGGAGCTTGTCAGAAGGGGACTTGGGGGACCTGAAAGATAAGAAGCTGAACATCAGCCAGCAACATGCCCTTGTGGCGAAGACAGCCAACAACATCCAGGGCTGCATTAGGAAAAGCATTGCCAGCAGATTGTGGGAGGTGATCCTTCCCCTCTGCTCAGCACTGGTGAGACACATCTGGAGTGCTGTGTCCAGTTCTGGAGCTCCCAGTACAAGAGAAACATGGACATACTGGAGCAAGTCCAACAAAGGGCGATGGAGATGATTAAGGGATTGGACTGTCCAATCTCAAAGGGGAGGCTGAAAGAGATGGGACTGTTCAGCCTTGAGAAGAGAAGGCAGCTCAGTGGATCTTGTCAATAGGCACAAGTGCCTGATTGAGGGGGTTAGTGAAGAGGGAGCCAGACTCTTCTCAGTGATGTCCTATGAAGGGAAAAGAGTCAAAGGGCACAGATAAGTAGGAACAAACTTTTTTACTCTGAGGATGGTCAAACACTGGAACAGGTTGCCCAGAGAGGCTGTGTAGTCCCCATCCTTAGAGCTATTCAAAACCTAGCTGGATGTGATCCTGAGCAACCTGCTGTAGGTGACCTCTCTGTGGGTAGGGGGGTTGGACTAGACAGTCTCCAAAGGTATCTTCCAACCTCAGCCATTCTACGATGCTGTGAAAAAGGAACATGAAATGAAACCTCTCTCAAGACCTCAGATACCAGTGATGAAGGCACACAGTGTGATACTGTATGAGACTTGCCTGTACTTACTTGTGTGAGCACAGTGGTTGGCTATGGGAGCTAGGCTGTTCCGTACAGGTATAAGATTTTTTGTTTTGGGTTGATCTACAGACATCTGTTGAAAATTTTTACCTGTGAAAGAAAAAGATAATCTGTTACCTTATGAAAATAACTGTAAATAATACAGTGCACTGTAGATCTGCGGCTTCTAGAAAAAAAGAAAACTTGCTTAGTAAAAGCAAGATACCAGTGACTGAAAAAAGCCATTGCTTTATTCTCTTTACATTAATTAAAAAGAGTGACTGATTTAGTATAACTTTCATGTGTACCCTTATCACTTCCTCTTATGTAATAGAGTAATTGGACTTAAACTAGGAACGGTCCAGCAGCTAGGTCCATGTAGGAGTATTTGGACACTAAATTTGTAGAAATGTTCAACTAGATGGCTTTGATTTCAGAACTGAAGCTTTAGTTTGCAAACTTTTGTAATAGGGTCTTAGCCTCTCTAAGTACTAGAACACAAATAGTGTTCAAATGCTGGTTGGAAAATTAGACTGGTGGAAGCCTATCAGCAGTAAAGATGAGCTTTGAGAGGGTTTTGCTGCAGATGAAAACATAGCAGACCTGGTATAAACTGGTACTGATTCTTATTAAACTCTACTTATGGCAATTTCATTTTTATCAAGAAGAAAGGATCCTGGAAAATAAAAGGTTAATTGGCTAACTGTGGCATTTCACTGGGTAAGATTAAAGTTAGGTCTTAGGTCTAGTACTATTAAAAAAGACAATATGTTATTTGATATAATGCATTCCACTACATAAATGACACATCAAATATTATTAAAAAAGCAGAAGCTCAAGTCCCAAATCGGCATTTTCCCCAGATACTTTTCCTGAGTTGATCTTATTCTGCGATGTTTGAGTTCCTCAAATTTTTCTTTTTTATTATCCCCAGATCTGACATGAGCCTTGTAAGGAGTCTTGATTCTCTTGCCAAACATCTCCTCATCCAGCATGCCATTGCAACATGGATCATTGCAGAGCAAGCGTGTTCTCTGCCAGCATGCAGAGATGAGGGGAGACAAAGGCTGGATGTAGTAGGACATCTTAAGCAATAGGAAGAAATGGAATTATGTAAATTGCCTTTGTAGTTTTGTAATTGGTACTTGAAAATAGACACGTATTGCTGGGCCGTGCAAGATAATACTATAGGAAAATAGTTGTAGAACAGTTTCTTAAAGGTGCACTGAAGTAGTTGTCAAAACTGCTGTAACTATGTTAGTGACTAAATGGATTCTGTGTGAAAGGAGCTAAAGTGGTAAGTGGTGTTTATCAGACAAACCCCCATGTTATAGTGCAGCCTTCAGCTTAGCATGGAGCAAGATTCTGGTCCAAACACCATGGTAGTTGATAGACATTGGGTCAGTCTACTGGATCCCATGAGCAGAGCTGATGCATATTGAGCTAAAGCATGAAGAATCTCTTATGGATGCACTGTGTTTCATAGAAAGAGCCTTTGGTTTCCTTTTCCCGTGTTTTACTCTTTATTTAGTCTTTAACACTTCTCCAGAGTGATCAAAAAGTGGATGTAAAAGTTGGTAAATTTCTTCTATGCACATTGCATCCACTGTGCACAAAGAAATACATATATCAATTCCAAAATGGCAGAGAATCAAGCGTGCTGTTCCCATTAGTGCAATTTGAGTTTTATTGGTTTCAGTGATGTTTATGCTGAGAACTAATGGCTTATTATGGATGTACCATTATGGCTTTGATAATGGGAGGTTGTTTTTTCTATCGAGTGATATGTTTATTTCATAAATGGGGATATCTGGCAGCAAAACAACAGTACAAAGCATAATCATGTTTGCCAGTCTGATATGAATGCTTGGTAAAGAATCCTTGTTGTCTACAAGTTCTGGCATCAAGTGGAAGTGTTCTGCTCTTCTTTTCTATCTGCTTCATGTAACAGTTCTTCTTTCTTTAAGACATCATCTTTGTCATGATCAAGAGCATACTTATGATGGCATTTATTTTTAAATGAAAGGAAAAGGAGGCAATTTCATTATTATAAAATTCAGGACTGTTCTGCATGTCATTTTATTTACTGACATTTTTTACAGGTTGTTCTTTGATTTTTTTTTTTTTTTTTGCATTTAGGTAGGTGAACCACACTGTGATGTGTTTTGTGGGAAAGTTGTAAATGTTACAGTGAATGTCCCATTGTAAAATAGTCTTTCAGTTTGAGAAAGAAGCAGCCACCCTGATCAGCTTTGCTCTACTCTTTCCTGGCCAAGAAGTGCTTCCTGCTGGACAATACCATATTGCTTAATAATTAATAATAGGCTATTTTTTATATTACCTGTTGAGACAAATAGAAGGTACTGGGCTACTGTAATAAAATCTTTAATAAAGTGTTGCCTTAGACCTGGAGGGTTAGTAATCTAGATGAGTGGGTGATAGATGGAAGCTCCAGCTGGTTAGAGGGTGCTAAGAGCTGCCTTACATTTGAGACAGGCTTCCTTTTACCCATATCACTTGGAATTTCTCTACTTACACCATTTTCCCAGTGGAAAGTAGGTGGGAGTACATTTTGCAAAAAGAGATGATTGCAAAGCTCATAAATACGAAATGCTTCAGATTATGGATGCCAGCTCAGCACTGTGGCTGGCAAGCACTCCTGCAATATTGACAGTAGTTTCTGGTGGTCTATCTTTGCTCTCCCTAGTGGAAGGCAAGACAAAGTAGTTATTCTGAGAGAAACCAGTGGCAGGGTAGTAAGGTAAGTCTCATTGCTACTCACAGCAACCTCTCCCCTTTGTATAAGTGCTAAGGCTCAGCTAGTAAGCTGACTCATCTTTCATTTCCAGGAGCACAGAAAACAGAAGAAAAAACCTCCAAAAATCCCCTCTATGTGCCAGCTGCCTTAGTACCAGCAAGCACAAAAAATAGCTCTGACTTTAATAAAAGGCATGGTCATACAAGATAATAAACACTGTGTGTCAGCTGAGAAAATAAGTTTCAAATTGAGTTCCCCTAGATTACTGATACCCATAATCCTGCTCTGGATATTCAGTGATGAGGAAATTATGTGTAGTTCCCACTGCCATATCTTGAGCAATGGAGTATTAACACTTCAGTGTCCCTCAAAGACCAGATGTTTTTTCCATCAGCTAGGCCTCCTGCAGAAAAAAAAAAAAAACCAAAAAAAACCAACAAAAAAACAAGGAAATATCTCTCCTCAGAGAGAGCTGCCTGCACAGTGCTGCTGGCTGGGCTGGAGCCAGGCTTACTTTGCTTCTGATCCCCTTAAGTCCTGCAGGCACAGTGCACTGGAGACCTGGAAGCCCTGGAGCTCATACAGTAAATGCAGTTCTAATCCACAGCAAGTCAGGTGGCTTTAATTACAGGGGCAGACAGATTTAAACCACACACATAGGCATGAAGAGGGATAAGCAGATCTTTTTATCGTGAAGAAATGTTAAACAGTATCTGGATTGCGCAATGTATTCCTGTCAGACACTCTGCCTCCTTGCAAGCTTTTAATTCACCATGCTTCAGTGGAAGTCCTTTTTGCCAGCTACAGGAATCTTTTTATTATTGGAAAGTTTTGTTAAAGGGAGCTGGTACACAGAGAACTGGGCTTAAAGCAGATTCAGGCTTTTTTTTTTTTTTCTCTCTTTTTTTTTTTTTTTCCTCTCTGAGGGAGATGATAAACTGGCAGAGATAAAACGACTTACTCTTCCTTTAGATATGCAAAGACAGCTCCCATTGTAAGAGTTAGAAGATCTCCCACAATTGATACAATTTTGCCCTCATTCATTCATGTAGGCTGCTGGTCTTCTATTGAGCCCCTGAGAAGATCATGGAGCACAGAGTGGATGCACATGGTCCATCATGATTAATTTGCCTGGTTGCAGATTTTTGTCATAGAATGTTCATAGAAAACCACCTGTTCTTCTGTCCGTAGCAAAAAAGGATGTAACCATACAGTGTTCTACAGTCTTAAGAAAAAAAATCTGTAATCACATTTTAGATAACATGGTAGCTACTTTCACATCAAGTGCATTCAAAGTCTAGCTAATTCCACAAAGAAATGTTTCCCCATAGTTGTCCTCAGGTTTAGTTTATCCAGTCTGAGTTCATTCCTCCTCCTACTGTCAACACGAATGAACTCAGATGTCTCAGCCTCATTGTACCCTATTAAATTTAGGTTGTTAAGAAGCTTTGCAGCTTTTCTTGTCTTCAGCATGTGAGCTGAACCTTGCAGAGTTCAGTGTAGAAAGAGCTGTGCTAGAGCAATATTGGCTAGCCATGTGGAGTTTGGGGTTTGTACAGTTGAGTGAATAGCTGAAGAGTGCACAGTAAAAAAGTAGTGACACCTATAGACAAGGTCTATCAAGCTTTCAGAAACTTGGTCTGATGTTCAGGAAGTGGAACTATTTCAACAGCTGCTTTTTACTCTGAAAAACTATTTCCAGTACTCTGAAAAACTATTTCCAGCCTTTATTTGCACAATGCGGAGTGATCTGTCATTCTGAAATTGCTGTCTCTACTCTTATTATTAGAGACATGAACAAAGATTTGCTATTTTATAGATCCCTTTGCTTGGGAGTCAGTTTGCACTATCATGCAAGCTCAGATAGTGACCTGACCTCACTGATGGTTCTTCTCAGACAGGGATTGTGTACACTTCTCTTTCTACTGGAGGGTAATGGCTCATGTCTCTTGGGGTGAGGGTAGATTAATGTTATGTAATGTTTACTTCTGGTAACGATGTAATGGTAAGCTTGCCGGTTGCTTTTGCTAGCTTAATTTTCAGTTGGATATTACAGTGGTGTATTGGGTCTGTCAGAGATGGAGTTAGTTTCCCCACAGCAGCCCTCATAGTGTTGTGTGATGCATTGGTGGCTAGAAAGGTATTGATAACACCAGTGTTTTGACTACTGCTGAGCAATGCTTGCACAGCATCAAGGCTGTCTCTCCAACATCCACCACCCAGTAGGCTCAGGGCCTCAGGGGTAGGCAGGATCTTGGGAGGGGACAGAGCCAGGACAGCTGACCCAAATTGACCAAGGGGCTATTCCATACCATATGACTTCTTCTCAGCAATAAAAGCTAAGAGAAGGGAGGAGGAGGGGGGCATTCATCGTTATGACGTTTGCCTCCAGGAGCAACCACTACATATATTGAAGCCCTACTTCCCGGAAAGTGGCTCGACATTGCTTGCTGATGGGAGAAAGGGAATAAAGTCTTTGTTTTTCCTTTGCTTCCATGCGTGGCCTTGTCTTTTGCTTTGATTAAACTGCTTTTGTCTTAGCCCACAAGTTTTTCATCATATTTTCTTCCCCTTATTTTACTGAAGCAGGGAGTGACAGAGCAGTCTGGTGGGCACCTGGCATCCAGCCAAGGTTAAACCACCACAAGTGGTTGGAAGGCATGCTAGATGTGTTTAATTTTGGCATGAGACTGATCCCAAAGGGGATGAAGTCGGAGACACTGATATGTTGAAGTAAACTCCAGCATGCAGGCCAGCCAGCCAGATTCATTTAAACATGGATGCCAGTCAAACAAGCTGCTAGATCCCAAATCCTGCCAAACCCTGCATTCGAGTTTACTTCAGAATTCTGATGCTCTGCTTCATTACTGTTTCCTTACAGTTTCCAAACCACAATATAAAAGCATTTATTCTGTCTCTGTAAATTTAGCAACCTGAATTCAGCTTTGGAGAAACCATGAGAACAGCACATTAGACCAAAGAGCTGGTTCTCAGGGTGATAGGAGTGGGAAAGGGTGACACTACAGCCTGGAGTCAGAATAGGGCTATAAGGGGAAGGTGGCATGGTGCAGAGCCGTCCAGCATGGCACATGTGGATTTGCCTGGTTGGATCCAGAAGCAGCTCTCAGCACACTTAGAGATTTGAGTGTAGTACTGTTCCCTTGCACATCTAGTTTCAGGACTAAATGCAGACACAAGGCAGCAGGCGTGACAATGGGTGTTAACGTGTAATTCACAAAGCACATATATAATCTGGAGGTACTTATCTTGCTCAGGTACCCTACATGCTTCCTAACTACCTGCTCGTCAGACCTGCTTAAATCTCTTATTTTCCACACCTAAGCACCCTGCTTCAGCTGTCAGTTGATGTCCTGTTGATATGGTATTTGTGGTTGCTACCACATGCATGGAGAAAAAAACTGAAAAAGATATTAAAGAAATAGAAATGCCATGGGTCAGGCTTACCTATTTTTTTCTGACTCAACTTGCCACATGAGTAAAGATTACAGGATTTGGGAGATAGAAGAAAAAAAATTACCTGATGGAGAACTGAGAAGTGAGGGAAGGCGGGGAGGGCACAAAAACACATGGTGAGATCTGTCAGAGTTTAAGCCATTTATCAGTTTGTCTGAAGGAGTCCTAGTAGACACTTTATAGGAGAGTAGTTGGTTAGGGTCTGTGTTCCAGGGATCATCCAACAAAGCCTTGCAGTGGCTTCTGTGGTCCAGCAAATTGTGTTCACTCTTACTCTTTTGAGACTTGTGTGCAAAATGGTGGGTGCTGGTGCTGGAGAAGAAGCTTGACGTTGTGCTCTGGGAAGCAGTTAGGAAGGAACTTCCTGCAGTGATTGGAGGGAGACTCTGGGTTCTGATGGGCAGAAGTCCCTGACACGCTTGTTGCTTCTCTTCTGGTATGAGGTACTTTATGTCTGTGCTCCTTCTTTTAAAGTCAGCGGTGGTCACACGCTCATCTGGAATGTCTTTGCAGTTTGTGTCCATAATGCAATCAAAAGTGGTGATGATGTCATCTACTTCTGAAGTCTCTTCTCTAGGATATCGGTCTCTGTTTCTCTCCTTATGACTGGTTTTCTGATCATCTTTCTTCTTTTTGCAAGAGAAGATGTGGTTCAGCATACTGAATCGTCCTTCTTTCTTTAGAAGTCTGTTCTGGGAGGGAAACTGATGAAATGGCTCAGATCTACTGGAAGTACAAATCAAAATGTGACGTAATTATTGCCAAATATTGAAAAAAAAATACTGTGTTAGTCTGTGATGTGGGGTATATACTCTTCAGATACATTTGCAGTGGTGGTTCAAAGAGGCAGAAAATTAGGATTCCAAATTTGTAGTTAAGAAAGACTGAAAATGATACCGTGTTATTTCACTCTTTCATATGCAGTTCATTGCCTTACACTCATCTTAATGTTGGCTCAGTGGAGCTATCAGGAAAAAAAACAAATAAACTTTTCTGGCTTCAGCATCTACCAGCTGCAAAATTGTTATTCTTAATGGTGAGATGCAATAATAACAAGAAGAATAAGCTGAGATCTTTAGAACCCAGTGGTCTTTGTATTATGTCGTATTTGGAAAATGGTATTTCCAACAGCACAATCATTGCTAACACTGTAACAAAGGCACTAGTTCACCATTCCCTTTCCCTTCCCTTCCCTTCCCTTCCCTTCCCTTCCCTTCCCCGTTTCCCCCTTCCCTTCCCCGTTTCCCCCTTCCCTTCCCTGTTTCCCCCTTCCCCATTTCCCCCTTCCCCATTTTCCTTTTCCCTTTCCCCTTCCCCTTCCCTTTCCCCTTCTCCTTTTCCTTTTCCCCTTTCCCCTTTGCTTTTTCCCTTCCCCTTTCCCCTTGCCCTGCCTGTACTAAAGAGGTCTGGCACAGTTTCAGAAGATCTATCAAGATAATTACCTACAGTGGTGTTGCTGTGGTGTTTTTGGACTAATCAACATTTCAGACCTACTCCAACAGGCAGAGCGCAGGAAGAGGAGGAGGAGAGGTAATGTTACCCATGTCTCACAATTTGTAACACAGGAAATAATACTAACTGCTGACTGGAAAGGAAGGCAAAGCACAAAGAAATGTGATGATAAATGTCTTTGTAAGTGCATGCTTATTTACCAAAGTTGAAGAACTGAGATGAATTAAAAAAAAAATAAATTAAATGCTAAAACATCAGAAATACAAAGAGAGAGGAAGATCATAAGCAATGGTAAAAAAAATTATACTTTTTAACAGAGAAAAACAGAGTAAGGAGAAGACACTCAAGGTAGAGAACTAAAGAAAGCAGGGAAACACTCCCAAATCCTTACTCAGAGGATGAAAACTTGGCATTTGTTTTATTATCTATCTGTCAAAGCTGCTTTTGTGTTCAGTCTATCCCTCTGTCTGATTACAGGAACACACAATTAGTGCACGGAGATTTCAAAAAAGTGGAAGGCATATATCTGAGGGCTGAAATTATTCTGTAGGATAAATTTTCTGCACAAAGGTGACTGGGCAAGAGTTATGCTCACACCTTTTTTGGCTCAAAACCAGCTGCTGATCAGCAAACTAGGACTGTAACCACATTGATGAGTCTTCAGTAGATGACTAATTCTAAATTTGCTATTTTGGTGGAAAACTTGAACTAAGTGTTGCATATGAATGGAGGAGACATGACCCAGGGCTCAAACCCTTCAGCAGTATAGAAGAAGCAGTGAATTTGTTTTCTAGTCAGTGGCAACATGTGAACAAGATGTGGACTTTTGCTTTACCTGCTCTCCTGAGACAGCAGCTTGATGCATGCTGTGTGCCCACAGTACATTGCATATGTCAGAGGAGTGTTTTCATTGATGTCTCGAGGGCTGCTGTCTATCCCCAGCTCTAGCAGTGTCTGCACACATTCAGCTTTCCCTGCTGCTGCAGCCCAGTGCAAAGGTGTCCTACAGAAAAGGGGGAGTATCATTAAAATAGATGAATACATTTACAATTGAAACTATAAATTACATAATGAGGTGTGCTTCTATGCTACTCATTCAGATTCATGATATCCATTTTAAGGAATTCTTCAGCAACTTATCCCACATTGATGTAGCTGGCACTCATGGTAGAAAGGCCACAGACTGACATCTATCTATGTACATCTATTTAGCTGTAGAGAAAGGAGATATGGGGCTGCAGAATGCCTATACATGCTATGTAATACCATCTTGTCTGCTGCTGGAGTTGCAGTGTGGGAGGTGTGCCTGAAGTTTTCAGAGCAGAATTTGAAAGAAAATCTTTGTAGTAACCGCTACATAGGGACAAACTCATCTCATCTTTACTTTGATCTGAACCACCAAACGCAATTATCAATGGTTGGCTAAGGGCTCTCCATGAAGGTAATAGCAGAAGAAGCCTCCCCCAGATGAATGAGAAGGACTGGACACATTTAAGAGACTGTCATTGCCCCTGTGCCAGTTTCTGTGTTCTTAATCAGCACAGACTGGAGTGGATACAATTGTCTTGAATCTGTGTAGAAAATCAAGATGATTTTTTGCTTAGTGAAAGATTTGTGTCTTTGGAAACTTTTGTCTGGTTTCCAAATTTCAGTATTTCGCTCTTGTGAAAAATCTGAAAGCACAGAAAACACCATTAAAAAGCTGTGCAAGAATAAAAGAGAAAATTGAATTTTCTCTGCCTGTTTCTTTGCAATCCCAGTGGTTTCAGATGGGTGCAGTCAGGAACACAGTAGAATGGAAATCTACTGTGTGTTTATAGTGAAGAGCTTATCTTTTCCCCTCCTCAGGTATAATGCCTTCTATGGAAATAGCTGAGAACGTGTAAAAGGAGGTTGTGTCTTTGCTGAGATCTTAAGTATAGTTAAACTCCTCCCTTCACCCTTCTTTCCATAGAAACAGAGCCTTCTCAGCTACATTTTACTGATGTTTAGAAACTTATCCAGAACCCTGTTGGATTTATTTCTGTTCCATTTTATTGCACTTTTCCATGAAGAATGCTATTATGTTAAGTACCTAAAGGCATAAGCCAAGAAAACCTTGGCTTTTGCTCCACTGAGCAGGATCATCAACGCAAACAGTCAGCTGGCTCTGTTTGCAATAAATAGATTTACAAGCAAAGTTTGAGGCGAGGTAGGTGTGTAGAAAAAAGGAGATGACTCCTCTGCACTTATGGTATAGGGATTCCAAATGCCTTCTTAGAATGGAAGGTGAAGGTCCCCTGGTGCTATAGGAACACTGTGTTAGCATCTTAAATGCAATGAGGGAACATTGCCATTTCTTAAATACAAATAGCAGCAGCATCCCAGGTTCAAGCTGTAGTATCCCGTTCTATTGTTTTGGAAAGAATATTCACTTTTGATTGAAAGAAGTCAAGTGGTGACAAAGTCCTTTCACACATAATCTTATCATTTCCTACCAGAAACACAAAGTTAAATAAGATTTTTACTTTCAGTTATTATGCTAGAAAGGATGGATGTGAGCTGGACTTTTTTGCAGTGTTTCTGAACAAGCACAGTTCTCTGTGAGTGCAGATCATTAACTAGGCCATGGCCTGTGAAACAGGAAGCATGATTATAGAATAAACAGAGCTAGTCTCAGGTTAATAGAAAGGAAGAAGCAATTTCAGTTGCAGAGTTTCTATGGTTACCTGTCATCCACATCAAGAGCCTGCAGGTTGCACTCCGGGACTTTTGCCAGCTCACTGATAATATCACTGTAGCCTGCAGCAGCAGCAATGTGCATACATGTTTTGCCATTCTCGTCGTCGTAGTTTATTATTGATGGTCCCTGGTAGTGGTCCAAAATGATGGAACACAGAGTCCTGTTGCCACTCTGGGAGGAAGTTCAGAGAAGAAAAGCGTTTTACAATGGAGCTCACGCCAAAATGCATTTTTGCTGCTAGAGAAGGCTAAATACAATAATGGTATTTTGTTTTGTGTATGCCACGCTCCCCAGGTATGAAAGCCAAAAGCCTCCAATCTCCTGCTGGGAACTCAGTTTGCTTTATGAATTTCGTAGAACACTTTGAACACTGGAAAAATAATAAATAATGTACCACTGCAAGTATCTCCAAAAGTTACAGAGTGTAAATTACCCAACAGCTTTCTCAGAAATTACTTGGGGTTTTTGCTGTTTTGCTAAGCCAGAGTCCAGAAAGATATGAGCATATATTTTCTCATAGAAATTTAAGGTTGGAAAGTACCTCAAAAGACCAACCCACTTCTGTAAGCTTGTCCAACTACACCTAGAAAAGCCATGTCAAATATTTGCTCAAGTGGTTCTTGAAAACTTTTTTAGCTAGTTTGCTCCTGTGCTTCAGTGTGTTAATGGAAAGTTGACACTGTTCTCTAACCTGTAAATGAAAGTGAACAATTTATATCCTAACTTGGTGGAAACAGAGAGAATTTTTCTTTTTTTTTTTTTTTTTTTTAATAACAACATAGAAACACAAGGCTGGAGAGGTCTTTCTAGATCATCAAATTCAATCTCTGCAGTCACTTGCAGCTATGTTGCATCATCCCTTTCATAAACTTACCGTGTCCATTAAAAGCAATTAGGTTTTTTGTTCCCATTACTACCAAAGGAAGGCAGTTCAAGAACTTGTTTGCTTTAATGATTAGTATCTCTAATTTCTATTCATACTCATGGCTGATTTATGTCCCTTTGTTTCTATGCCAACATTATTATTTAGAATAAATACTTCTTTCCTCTAACTGGTATTTGTTCTTCAGATGTGTTTATAGACAATTATCGTATCCCTTCTGAGCTATTCCCTTGCCACTCTAATCATCAAGGTCTTTTAAGTTTCCCTTGTAAAATATGCTTTCTATTTCTCTCATCAACCTACTAACCCTTCTCCTTTTGTGTTTTAGGTGTGTATCCTTGAAGAGTCTTGCCAAGTCTTTGTACAGGAACACTATCTTTTTGTTATTTGTGCTAGAAATATGTCTTTTGGTGTGCCACAGAACAGCATTTGCCTTATTCACAGCCGTGTTCCATTAGAAGCTCTTCGTCATTTTGGAATAACCCTTTGCACCTTGATGCTTCTCTTCCATAGTGGTTTCCAAACAAAGAGTCTAGTTTCTGGGAGGACCTGCTGTTATTAGCACCCAAGTGCAGGACTTTAACATTTTATCCTATTCAATGTTGTCCCATTTGTATTACTCTAGACTTGAAGGTGATCCAGCTTCCCCTGTATGATATTCCCATTCTTTTCAGTTAATGTCTTCTGCCTTTTTTGTTATTGACAGATTTCATCAGAAAGCCCTTACATTTTGTGCCCAGTTATCATGAAAATATTAAGTAAGATTGATTTCAAGCCTTGTCCCTGAAAGCAATTTCCTTCCAGCCTCCATTCAACAGTTAAGTATGACTGTTCTCTTCTTGATTTTGAGATACAATTTATTTTGCGTCTCTGTACTTTTTCCTATTATTTTGTGATGTCTACTTATTCTAAATATATCTTTTAAAGCTGGATAGTCATCCATAATATCTCAAGCCTCTTCTACAAACTTCTCCGCTTTTGGCATACAGATTCCTGCTACATTTTGCACCATTGAGAGGTTACATTCCAGGTTCCTGGAACCTCCTCATCCCCGAGCTTCTCAGTCCATCTGAGAATTCCCTTAATTTACTAAAATGTGTCCCTCTGAAATAAAAAAAAAATATTTTGCATATACTTTGTTTACTCACATGTTTAATTTAGAGTCTATTCATGGTCATGCCATCCAAGCTTATTTTCTATGACCAGGCATTTTATGACATCCTCATTAACAATGTTAAATTGTTATGAATTTAGAGTTGTCTGAATATCTGATGAAAAAAGAGTGTTGATCTTCATTTTCAGAAATTCTGAGGTCGTAAGAAAAATTGTTTTTATTCTCTATGCCAAATGTCAATGTCCTCCCTACTAGCATATTTCTAAGTTACATTTTTTGTCACTAGCATCAGAGAAATCTCTAGTCACATCCAGGACTAACTGAATCTAGAAATCTATTAGGTACTTCAAGTACTACCACAATAAACATCTATCTATTACCATCCTTCTCCAAGTCAGTTTTGATACAAACAACTGCTAACACGCAGTATCTTACTATTTCTGTACTCGTGCTCTAGTGACACTACTATTCCTCTAGGTAGGTGCCCGAGGACTGGAGGAAAGCG